TTAACATAATTTAATTTATGTATTAATTCTGAAACAAATAAATAAAATGCAAATAAAATGCTTTCTGAAATCATAATTCACTCGAACCTACTCAAGAATAATATTCAAACCATTTGTATCACTTTAAGCGTGTTTTACTGGAAATCACATAAAAAAAAGTCTTAAATAAAATAATCAAAACATCTCTAGTTCATTTCTATGGGTCGTTCTGAATACCCCACGCAAAAGCTAAAAGCCTTCAAAATTTAAATTTCTCCAAAATAAAGCAATTTTATGCTTTTTTACATAACTATAAACTCAGCTCTCTAAATAAGTATGATTTGTTTGTCGTGTTGCTTCCCTCACTCAAAACGACAAAGTGCGGCCAATGAAAAAGGCTTGTCAACATTATTCCTTTTATTGATTTAACAATAAAGTCCTCTGGCTTAAGTTTTATGTTGTTATTGCCGCCTATTGAAAATACAATGAAACATGGAAGGGGAAAAAATCCCGACAGGAATTTCACATAAGACCATCAATGCCCTCTGGATAAAGTGCGCCTGTTATATTCTTCAAATTTTCAAGGGCGTTGCTTAGAAAGCAGTCGTGCCAATGAAATCACGAACTTATCCTCAATCAAAGCAGCTTCAGATGCTAGAATGTTTCATTCACCGCCCCATGCCGTCTGCATTCATATGAGCGCATGCCGTCTCTGCTTCCTTTTAAAAACCATGGGCCGTACCGAAGTATTTAAGAGCTCACAACGTCTATATGAACCACTTAAACACAAGGTCTGCTGCTCTAAACGACTCAAGCACTCTGGGTACAGCGGCGGTACGTTCTCGACGCATGTCAAAACAAACACTGAGAGCGTGCGGCATAAAAACTTTCGTTGACGAGAATTATCAACGACTTCATAAAACTTTAGAAGAAGTTTGTCGTTTCGTTGCTGCTGGAGTGGTTGGTTTTTCTAACAAGGTTGAATTTACAATGCAGTTGGGTAAAACGCACAGTTTTATTGTCATTGTTCGCAGCCACTTTGAAAACAAAGGGTGGAATTTAGTGAGAAAACAGCTCGATCTGGTTGGTGTTTAACACATGGGAGTTATATTTTCACCTGTCACATTTGAAAAGGAAGAGGCTGGCAAAATATCCAAGCGGTGAAACGATCACACAGAGGCCTGCAGTGATTTCCTGTGGATTCTGCATCTCCCAAAAAAATCTCTGACTCACTTTCTGTTTGGACTGATTCCGAGCCAAAATCTTTAGTGACATTCATAATCATTTACAAATTAGGGCTGACTTAAGTTTTACTAAAAATCTGAGGGTATATTTACATATACCTAATAAAACAGTGTTAAATAATGTCTGGTTGTTCATTCAGTTTAGATTTATTTGATATATTTTTAGGAAAAAGTGTATGTGGGGGGGACAAACAAATATGTGTGTGTGTACCTTTTTTTTTTTTTAAAGACATTAATATTTTTATTCAGCAAGGACACATTAAATGAATCAAAAGTGACATTTATTATGTTACAAAAGATTTCTATTTCAAATAAATGCTGTTTATTTTAAACTTTCTGTTTGTTAAAGAATCCTGAAAACTTAAATATATCACGGTTTCCACAAAAATATTATTCAGCACAAGTGTTTTCAACATTTATAATAGGGCTGTGCGATATTGAAGAAAAATGCGATATGCGATAACTCATTAAATAATGCGATATTCGATATGCGATACGATAATGCTTAAAGTGCCACATGCTCAGATGAAACAGTTTTACTCAGCTGTTGCTGAGTCAGTTCTGTGAACTTCTATAACTATCTTGTGTCATATATATATATATGGTTATTTGTATGTATGTATGTACCAATAGTTCCTGTAAAACCACAACAAATTCCTTGTGTTTGTGCACACTTAAGTGGTGAATAAAGCTCATTCTGATTCTAATAAGAAAGCACCCCTACAACAACTTCTGAAAGTGAACGGTAGTGTTTTACTCGAGCATTACATAAAAATGTCATTTTAACATTAGTGTAATCATATTAACATGAGTTTAGGAACTGAATAATAAAAAGGAAAAATAAAACACTGCTTAGTATTTAATCTTTACAATTCAATATGCACTGATTCTTATTTAAGCTACAAAAGTTATTTAGGTAATTATGATTATGATTATCTCTTTGCCTTTTGTTCATGGCCCCAAATATTGCAAGCTGTAGCGATACGCATATTGTATTTTAAACTTTCTGTTTGTTAAAGAATCCTGAAAACTTAAATATATCACGGTTTCCACAAAAATATTATTCAGCACAAGTGTTTTCAACATTTATAATAGGGCTGTGCGATATTGAAGAAAAATGCGATATGCGATAACCTTTGCCTTTTGTTCATGGCCCCAAATATTGCAAGCTGTAGCGATACGCATATTGCGATATGTACATGTGCGATATTTCGATAATTTCGATATATATTGCACAGCCCTAATTTATAATAATAATAAAGGATTCTTGAGCAGCAAAGCAGCATATTAGAATGATTTCTGAAGATCATGTGACACTGAAGACTGGAGTAATGATGCTGAAAATTCAGCTTTGATCACAGGAATAAATTACATTTTAAAATATATTCAAATAGAAAACAAATTGAAATTATATTTCACAATATAAAAATTTCTGAAAATTATTTTTGTCGATTTCAGAATTGTTAATCATGCACAGAACAAGATTAAAAATATACCGCTTTGTGTTTTGAAAGCTACTGTACACATTTTCCACAAGACAGCAGAAATCATTTTTATATATTTGCTTTGATAGTATAAGACACTTTTTTCAAAAACATTAAAAAGTTATTTTAATTTAACTTTTTAGTTATCATCATATATTATCATTAAGATTAATTTAATAATTCAGCAAAAAAAGGCAAATAAATAATTTTTCCCCACCAAAAATAATTATAGTACAAAATACATATATGTGTTTTTAACTTTTTCAAAATTCTAAAACAAGCCTTACTTGATTCATGTAAAATCAAACTTATACTATCAATCTGTCAAGCTATCTGATGATACAGCAGTTTCCAGGGCTGAAGGACACAAATAATTATAGTTGAATCACTAGAAACGGACTTGAATACTACATAACAAGCACAGACCCATGAATACTGTAGGAAAGCAGACAGGAATCCATATGTAAATATTATTTATGGTATGAACTAAAGCATGATTACAATAAAAATACATCTAAGGAAAACAACATCCACATCTGCCACAAACTTTAATGACCTTCGAACACACACGTTTAGCTGACGCGTCCTCAGAGGAGACACTTTACACACATGCCTTTAATGTGCAACTTCTCCTATGGCTTGAGATGTGGACAAACAAACAACAGCAAACGAAAATGAGTAAACCAACTAAACTGCGACTTTGTTTCAGAAAGGCCTACATCAATTATGACTGTGTTGAGACATTTTTTAATTAGTGCGGAAAATGCACTATTTATAGTGCGGTTTAATGATGCGAGTCAGGCTAAATCTCTATTGATTTTCTTGTGATACATACAGCTCTATTACAGAAACAACTGATTAAGGAGCTGCACAGATCGCAAACACACAGGCTTGTAACCAATAAAGAATGACACACTTTTCTTTCTTTGATCGAAATAACACACTGTGATATTCTCTATCTACAAATGAGATCCTTTGACAGTACTGCAAAATTTGTCGATTTAAAAATATTTATAAACTAAAATATATTGCTTTGTGTTAGGCAAATGAACACATCTGTATTCTCTATTTTGATTTTGCACCTGCTTAAATGTGGTTCATGTTTTTTTTTTTTACAAATATTCCAAATGATTTTAAATTATAATAGAACTGCATTAATTCTAAATATAATTCTGAAAATTATTTTGGATGATCTCAGAAGTGTTAGTCATACACAAAATGACAATAAAAAATATTTGTAAATATAAAATATACTGCTTTGTTTTTCAAATACTACAAAACAATATTGAAAACAGAAAGACAAAAAATACAGACTTAGTATATTTAGATTTTGCGCCTGCTTAAATATGGGACTCATATTGAAATGTATAATAAATATATATTTTAATAATTATAATTTAAAATAAACATTTTAAAATGAATAAAATAAATGATCAAATTAACCTACATTTCTGAAAAGTATTTTTTTTTTGGCAATTTCAGAATTGTTAATCATGCACAGAACAAGATTAAATATATTTATAAACAAAAATATACACAGGTCAGACCTGTAGATGATGCAAGATTTGAACAATTTATTGCAATATTCTGTATATTTTAATTTTGTGCCTGCTTAAATATGGGATTCATAATAAATATACTGTATTTTAGTAATGATTTAAAATAATAATCAAATAACATTTTAAAAAGTAAAAGTATTTTTTTGTCGATTTCAGAATTGTTAATCATGCACAGAACAAGATTACAAATATTTATAAATAAAAACATACCACTTTGTGTTTTAAAAGCCACTCTACACATTTTCCACAAAACGGCAGAAAATTAAAAACCGGACAGACCTCCAGATGATGTGATATTTAAATAATTTAAAACAATATTCTGAATGTTTTTATCTAGTGCCTGCTGAAATGTGGTATTTATATTAAATTAATAATAAATCACATACGTGTGTTTTTCTTATTTAAAAATTAATTCAATGGCTAAAGTAAATTACTAACTAAATCAAATTTTCCCAGAATGTTCAAAGCAGCTTGGCTGCATTAAAGCCGAACTCAACAACCATTAATAATGATTTAACGGGAAAAGGAAGTAACAGAGGAGGAGGTCTTTCGCCAAAAATAATTTCACCTAGATTCTGACAGTTACTAAAAGAGAAACGCTGGAAAAGGAGATTTTCAGCGTTTACCAGAAGTCTGGATAAAAGTTCACTCCACACACAGATGCTCTCAGTCTGTTAAACAGCAATGATCTCTTCACTCCCCACAGTTTACCAAGCGTCGAGAAACACTCTTACCTGCAGCGAGTTCAGGAGGCTGAAGATGTACGCGATAACCACGGAGAACGGCACCAGGACGCCACAGAGCCACGTCAGGCCCAGGATCGGCAACAGGACCAGCACGGCTTTCACTGCCGCCCTAAAAGCAGACGAATGATATGAAAAACACTTTATTTTATTATATTGGTGCATATATACGATCGTACACACACACAGACAGATTTCAGGGGTCACAACAGGAGCTGCTGCTTATTCTCACATTGTGACAATTTCCACGCTAAATCGCTTTTAATTCTGTTTAGTATAAAATTACCTCCCTATTCAGGTAACCGCTAAAGCGAACCAGCTGCGGTCCGAACGGGCCCTGCCAAGCGGAGGAAGCGTGTGTTTGATTTTCCTTGGAGTCACACACACAGGGGCCTTCTGAGGGCCCCCCACCTCAGCGACTGATGCTGGAGGTCCAGACGTGTCGAAATGTTGGGTACGTGTGGCAGCTTAATTTGCGTTGTGGTTATTTACTGAATCTACAAACCAACATGAGAATCGGTATAAAGGCCTGTTTTTAAAAAACATAACGCCGGGGTCCTGCAGTGACCGAGCTGTCTGAAAGTTTACTCTTGAGGGGGGGAAAAAACGTCGAATCGTTCCATTAATGGGCCAAAAAACAAACAAAACATTTGATGTTGGAAGAGGCTGTAATGTGCAAATAGATCATTTTAATAGAAAGCCAAACTGACTAGGATCAGTCAGACGGGAGCACAGCTGTGAAAGGGCGCCTCCATGTGGCCACATGAGAAAGCGTACCTTATCTGCTCGGAGACCTGCTCTTCTGGGCTGGTGTTCAGAGTCATCATCAAAGATCTCCTCTTGGCTGTGGCCATGGTGATCACGACCACCCGGTGATGTTGAAAGAGGCTGTAATGTGCAAATAGATCATTTTAATAGAAAGCCAAACTGACTAGGCTCAGTCAGACGGGAGCACAGCTGTGAAAGGGCGCCTCCATGTGGCCACATGAGAAAGCGTACCTTATCTGCTCGGAGACCTGCTCTTCTGGGCTGGTGTTCAGAGTCATCATCAAAGATCTCCTCTTGGCTGTGGCCATGGTGATCACGACCACCCGGGTCAGAATCATGATATTCACCTTAAATAATAAAAAAAATTTTTTATAATAATAACATAAATAATTAGAATCTATAAAAAGCATTATTATAAATATTAAACATGCACATATATATGTACAGTAAGTGCACACATATAAAAAAGAAAGTGTTAACACATGAGTGTGTTGTAATTTTTTGTAATATGTAAATATACATAAAAAATATAAACTTTATACACGTTATATATATTAATGTAATAATTACTGCATTGTTATTATACAGCCTATATATTAACATAATAATAAAAATTATTTAAAAATGTAATTTAAATTATATATGCATTTATTTTATTATGTTATTATTTTGTTATTAAATATATATAATAAAAACATTTGTGCCGTGTGTTATTTATTGTTGTTATTATTATAAATATTAAATATACACGTATATGTAAGTGCAAATATTTTAAAAAGAACATGTTGCCACACATGTATTTTTTGTATTATATAAAAATAAATAAAACAATATAAACTTTATACAAATGTTATATATTAATGTAATAATTACTACATTATTAATACATAGCTTATATATTAATGTAATAACTAAAAATATAAATACTTTTGTAATTTACATTTTTAACTGTATACCAAAAAATAACACGCTATATTATTATACAAATATTGCATATTGTAACATTATAAAAATACAATAAATTAAATATATGTGTAATAAAAACATTTTATATTATATATTTGTATGTGTATGTATTTATTGTGTTATTAAACACACCTAACAAAAACATTTAGCATGTTATTTATTTATGTTGTTTTATTTATTTTTGTTGCTGTTGTTGTTATTATACATATTAAATATACACATATACGCAAGTGCACATATATAAAAAAATTAAAAGAACATTTTGCCACACATGTGTATATTTTTGTATTATATAAAAATACATGAAACAATATAAACTTTATACAATGTTATATATGAATGTATTAGTACTCATATATTAAAGTAATAATAAAAATTCTACATAATACTTTTTTGTAATTACATTTTGTTTTGTAATTTATATCTTTAACTGTATATACCAAAAATAACACACTATATTATTTAAAAAATATTGCATTTTGTAACATTCAAAAAAAAAAAAAAGTAACACACATATTATAAAACAGGTTTTTGCATATATAAATATAATTAAAAAACTAAAACGTTTATATTATATATTTTATACATGTATTTATTTTATTATGTTATTACTGTTATTAAACATACATACAAATATTTTTGCATTTGTTTTTCATTCATTCCTTTATTTATTTATTTATTTACTGCTTGTTATTATTATTATTATGATTATAAAAGAGAACACTGATAGAAGTAAAGACACACCATAATAATGAAGATGACTGGTCCTGCAAAGCCCCATATGACGCCGTTCTGAACACTGAGCCAGCAGTGGCCATCCGCTGAGTAATTCCCAGCAGCAGAGGCCAGTGTGATGGTAACGATCAGCGCGGGCAGACCTGTTAAACGACACACATTTCTATATCACACATGGCGTTTTAAAGCTTGAAAAGTATGCTTATGCTATTTTTATTTTTTTGCGGTAACGGTGACACATTTTAAGGGTGACTTAAATGTGCAAATACTTTGCTGTACAAGGTTGAATATAAATGTCTCAGCTTACATGGCAGGTGTTGACTATCATTTTTCAATTTTCTACAGTTTGGATGTTAATTTAAGAAAAAGTAGTGCAAAATAAAATCAAGTATATGTGAATATTTAGTGCTATCAAATCAACCTGCATTCCTGTACTCTTGAACCGACTCAATAACTGCGCAGTACAACAGATTGAAGAGGAGATTGGGGGCGGACTCGCATTACCCCAGCCAATCAGGTAGTAGTATTTCATGTGTCGGTCCTCGCTCAAATTAACGCTCACTACTTTGCTCCAGAGCAGCAGGCCCTCCACCAGCATCCAGCTGAAGGCTGCCATGAAGAACAAATGCATCAGAGCTGCCACAAGCGTGCAGGCCACCTACAGGGCAAAGGTCAGAGAGCAGGCGGGTCAAGGGTCAAAAGATCAAACAGCCACACAAACGCAGCCGTACTTATCCAACGCCAAATATGGCTACAGCACTAATGTCGTTTTAAGACACTGTCAGACTGCTGCTACTGAGTTTGTTCTAAAAATAGACTTGGTTTCTTTTTTTAAAATTCAATATCATAGGCCTGATAGCATTTAATAAAGCAATAAGCCACTAGAGGATGTGCGTTCGAGTGATTTTGAACTTGACACCCTTAAACATAGTAAAAACACTGTAACACATGACCTTGCATGGCGTATACTAATATTAAATAGAGCTGATTCCGATTAAACAGATTGTTACATTAATATTATTAATACATTTATATCACAGTTTTAAAAAGAATTACAATTTATTGTGTACAGCAGTGTTGTTGCAAACTAAAATAATAAAAATGGTGTTACGTTATTGAAATAAAGCTGAAATTGGATGAAAACTTTAAATAAAACTTAAAAAAGAAAAACAATTAAGACGTACTGAAATTGAATAAGCTGAAGTACTAAAATTACTGAACTAAACTTAAAAATTATTTATTTAAAAATGTTAGCTCAGGTCCAGTAACTAACATTAATAGATACACATTTTGAGTTGAATAATGTATTAGTAAAAGTTACAATGCCTTAAATGCTTTAGAAGTATTTTTTATTGTTAGTTTATTTGTAATAATAACAAATTATAAATGTAAATGTTTACAATGTTTTAATTTAAATTATTAATAATATCATAAAATATTCTTATGCATAGCTGTGCTGTGCTGTTATCAACTAAAGCTAAATCTATAATAATTTTTTTTAAATATTACATAAAGTTTAAATTAAATTAAATAAATATTAGATAATAAAACTTAAATAGAAAAAATAGAAATGTTGCCTTCACAATTAACTGAAATAAATAAGTTTAGGTTGAAGTACTAACATAACTAAAGCTAAAACTGAAATAAAAATAAATGAATCCTATACAGAAATATACATTTAAAAATAATAATAAAAATGTCAAAGCCACATACAATTATTAAAACTTAAAATAATTAAACTACAATTAAATTATAATAAAATAATTATAACTAAAATTTATTAAAATAAAAACTGCAAATATAAAAATAAAAGCTAATTCAAAATATTAATAAATACTATAATCGAGCATATAAATAATGCTAAAATAACTGCTGTATAAATAATAACAAAAATTACAAAAAGCAATGATTTAGCATCTTAATCATTAATTAATTAAATATTCTGTTAAAATATACCAACAATTACAACCTAATTTTGAATATTATGCTACCAAATAAATGTGTGAAAAACACCAAACCTTATTATGAACAGCAGAACCGCTGCAGAGAAGGACAATTTGAGCACAAGTCAGAGACACAAAAAGATTTTTGTGAACTGATGTCCGATCTGATTTCGGGATGCTGTTAAAAAAAAAATACAAAACACTTTTTGTCATATATGCATTTTTCGCAATCATTCAGACACATTTTGAGAATGACAAGGCAAAAAACTCAGGCAAATTGTATGTATTTTGGTAACCCAGATGCAGTATGTGTGTGGGTTGATTAGCAGCAAACAGGCCATCAATCTCTTAAAGAAACCAGCTTGGCTGATACTGCGTTGATTAACCTCTCTTTGTGTGACCCTTCCCTTTAATTAACTCTCCTGTAATGCCACCATAAAACTTCAGCTTCAGGCTCATTTGGCACAGAGCGCTAATTAGCCGATTAGTGGTTTTCAATACTTATTCAGCCTCACAACTGAGTGCTATTGACGGCGTGCTGCTGAGAGTCAAGCAAATGTTATGCTGTCGTGACCCTTCTGAACCCAACACTGGAAGTTAGACATCAGAAAAGAGAGCGAATCAAATGCTGCCAGGGCACATGCAGGAGCCCCAACAGAAGCACACGGCTCTTGTCATGCAGGTAGTGCATCGGTGAAAAGCACTTACTCTAACACGGTAAACAGCATCAAGGTCACCACCAGTGCGCAGAGAGACGCTCCGGATCCGATAAACGTCAGCTTCGTCAGAATGCTCTCCTCTTTAGCACTCCACTGCGGGGAAAAGACCCATCAAAACACAACGCTCTGTCTGTCTCTCAATCTAACTGTCTGGGAAACATACGTTAACTACCGTGTATATGAGGACTGATGCCATTAGTGCGCTGGAGTGGCGCTTAGGCATTAATGTGAGATCAGATTTGCTTGTTATGAAGTTCTGCAGACGAACTTCTCACATAATGCTCAATACAAACCACAAAGACTACTATTAAGGCCCGCTTGCGTTTGTAAGCTAACAGTGGCCTCTATTGGACAGATTGTGTTATAACAGGAAAATGTGATCAGTGAGGACAGTATATTTATGTAAAAGATCAAACAGCTTAGATATATGTAATATATCTTATTATTCTACATTTATATTTGTATATTTTATAACATATTTATATATTAGTTTGTGTGTGTGTGTGTATATAAATGTAAGTAATATAAATAAATATAGTATAATAAAAACAATATATGAAGTTTATCTGCAAAAACAGATAAGTCAGTTTTTTTTTTTTTTTCAT